CTGGGGGGGGTAATATGCTGACTCTGTAAACCGCTTAGAGAGGGCTGAAAGCCCTATGAAGCGGTATATAAGTCTAACTTCTATTGCTATTGCTATTTATGGGCTCTTAGGGGAGGAACAGGAAACATTTTGTTCCCTTGTCCATTAATTTCATGCATATACTGGATGTTTGAGTCATGCCCACTTGCAATGACGACAATTCTTTTTGCCAGGAACCGTTGGCATTCTGTACCCGTGGGAGAAGGGGATGGTGCGGGCCCAGTGTGGAGGACCCAAGAGGGTGGAACCACCATAACTGGTTTGGCAAATGATGCCGTGCGCCCAACGTGGTGGATACTGAACGTGAAACCACCGTTACTGGTTTGGCAAAAGACGCCTTGAACCCAGATTGGTGGCTACAAGTGGAACCATTACTGGTTTGGCAAAAGATGATGTGAACCCAAAGTGGTGGATACAAGAAGTGGTACCGTTATTTGTCTGGCAGAAGACGGTGTGAGCCCAGAGTGGTGGATATAGAAAGTGGCATTACTGGTTTGGCAAATGAGCCCCTCGTGGTGGACACAAGAAGTGGAATCATCATTATTGGTTTGGCAAAAGACGACGCGAGCACAGTGTGGACACAAAGAGCGTGGAACCACCATTATTGGTTTGGCAAATGACAGCATGAGCCCAGCGCGGTGGATACAGAAGGTGGAGCCACTGTTACTGGTTTGGCAAAAGACGTGAGCCCATTGTGGTGGATACAAGGGGTGCAACCTCCATTACTAGTGTGGCGAACGATAGCAGGAGCCCATTATGGTGGATGCAAGAGGTGGAGCCACCGTTACTGGTTTGGCAAACGGCGGTGTAAGCCCGGCGTGGTGGATACAGCAAGGTAGAACCACCGTTAACTGGTTTGGCGGAGGGCCTTACCTTGCTGAACGCGTAAGCGGCCTTTTCCTCCGCTAAAAACTCGACCAGGGAGGCCGACCGCTGGAAGTTCTGCCTCATCTTGCTAAAGCCGTAGAGGTTCAGCTGGCGGATGAAGCTTTTCATGCAGTCCGTCTCGAAGATGCGCATGGGCCCTTTGCGCTCCAGCACCTCCTTCTTGAAGAGCTCCTCGTCGATCACCACGCAGCTGCCCTCGTCGTCCCACCAGAGAGACTTGAACTGCTCGCTCTCCACGATCTTCCAGAGCTTCTTGGGGAAAGTCAGCGAGAGGAAATCGTTGTCTTCCAGGCCGGCTTCCTCGCAGAGCGACAGGCGGGGCCGCTTCGCCCAGGGCCCGTCGCTCAACGCTTGGAAGGCGTTCTCTTCGATCATCGACCGCAGGGCAAAGTCGCCGCCGGCGGTTTTGTTGTGCATGGGGGCGGAGGGGAGGGGAACCGCCGGAGGCCTCGCCTCATCTTCGTCTGAAACGGGCTGAGTCTGCACAGTGGGAAGAGCCGTGTCCAGTTCCCTGTGGTCACCCAGGTAGCTTTCCGCGGTCGCCATTATTATGCTGTTTGACGAACCATGCCGGGGAAAGAGTGCCGGCAGGTCTATTAAAAAAACAAAACCCCAAAGAGAGAGGCTGGGCAGCAGGAGCTTCAGGAAAGAGTTCTAGAACATCACAATGCTTTTATCTGGAGACCGAGTGTGACATCACACAATGAACGCTGGTTTCCTAGCAAACGAGATCATAATGACAGGAAAGGTTTTATTTGCAGCTGCGCTGGAGGAGAAGAGAGGACTTGGGGGGCTGAGAGGAAGAGAGGGGAGATGGAGTAAAGAGTTTATTTCAAAGTAAGCCGTCAACCTCAACCAGCAGCGTATAAGTTGTGCAAGAGTGGAGACACGGCAAGATCCCACACTGGGGATTCCTCTACGCACTGTGTACCCTGAAAAGGAAATCCAGAAGAGAATTCTGCACCTTTGCCACCAAGCCAACTTTACTTGGCGTTTGCTAAGAAGGTGCAAGTTTATAAAGAAATAAGATTTGGGAGGATCTAAAGATACTTTTCAATGCTAAAGGGGTTTCCCACCCAGTACAGGGGGGTGTCCAACTTTTAAGACTCGTGGATTTCAACTCACAGAATGCAACTTTTAAGCATAGCTGGCTGGGGAACTCTGGGCATTGAAGTCCACAAGTCTTAAGTCGCTAAAGTTTCGATTTCCCCGATCCAGGAACTCAGGGCTGCATCAAATAAGGGTCTTTTTTCCCCTTTAGGGAACTTGCAGTCTTCTCGCATGGATTCAGGGCTCCCCAATTCTCATCACGGCTTCGCTTTGGGTCCTCTTGTGTATTCTCCTGTGCTGTGATGGGACACATTTTCCTAGCAGCTTTTCCAAAAGCACGGGAAGAAGGCCAGACAAGAAATGATGGATGGAAACAGAACAAGGAGAGACATTCAACCTGGAAATAAGGAGGAATTTCCTGACAGNCTCCGAGACTCCTTGCCAAGTTCTGCAGATATCGACCTGGCAGCTCTCCAAGCCAGATAAGGTCTGTGACTGTAAATCCTCCTCCCTCGAAAGACTTTGCTGGAGGTGAATGAGCAGAATTCACAGTCAATTAATAAACGGGTTTTTTGTCGGGACAAGGAGTCTGCTTCACACTCTTGGGAAGCCTCGGTCAGAACAGAAACAACCAAGCTCAGAGAGCACCAAAACCCACAACAGTTCAACCTTGATGTATAAAAATTAATTTTCTATTGAAACATTCATTTTGGGCATCAGGCAAGGATTATTATTGTTTTACCCAATTCCACCAAATGCTTCCTCCCATGGCATCTCCAGACCCAGCTACAGGCTGGAGTTCCCTAGGGGAATATCATTCAAGTACTCATGAGGTCTCCCCTTGCTTCACTTGTCTGCGTGACAATTTAAAGTCATTCCGTTCCCCCCACTCCTCCACCAGATCCCTCTGCGAGTAGGCCCCCCATTGTCAAAATCCATTGACGTCTCATTTCGGCCTGCCAGCCGCTACTGGCCCAACAACCCTGACATTCTGACAAGAGGAGGATCTTTACAACTTTACATACAAGCCACGGCCACTTGATGATTTCGTCCAGTCGGAGGGCAATGAATATGAACTGGAGTATGTTGACGGAGCACAGGATCTCCAGCTAGGAGAGAGAACCAAAGCAAGCGGATTAGAGTCAGAATGGATTTTGCTGCAACCAGCAACGAGTATCTTGCTTGAGGTAGCAAAGCCACAAGTTACAAAGTACCTGTCACCTGAATACAGGTAGTCCTCGACTTACGGCTGCAACTGAGCCCAAAATCTGTCGCTGAGTGAGAAATTTATCAATGCCCTGTTTTACAACTTCTCTTGCCGAACTGTTTTAAGTTTTAAGTCGAGGACTACCAGTACAATTGTTCACCATGACTCCTGTATGAATCTTCAAAAAAAAAAAAGACTCATGAAATACATTTGCAAAGAAGATACTCGTCTCTTACTTCAGCCAAGTAGAATTCTGCTCTTCCTTGAATGAGGGGAACATCTCCCTCCCTCCCTCCATCTCTCTCTGTCTCTCTCTCTCACACACACAATAAATATTCTGAATTATAAAACTTACTGTTGGGACACGTGGGATTCCTTAAGAGTAGTTTCCTTTATTGCTCTTCACCCAGAGACAGGCTCTTGCCAGGCTAAAGCAACTATTTGCATAACTACTGATATACTACGGGATGAGTTGTTTTTGCTCAGAGAATTCATGACTGGCAGAGACATGGTAATAAGGTCAGCCAATGAACAGGCATAGCAACAGAATAGCCAATGGGAGATGAAACAGATTTGAGCCTGGGTGTGGTTTAGCCCTGCAGCTCTGAATGCTGTGCTGAGAATTGAAACTGAAAGCGGTCTGTGCTGAAAACTAAACTAGTCTGCTGCTCTGATCTGAAACTGAAAAATCACTCTTGGTATTGTACATTTGCTCATGTGTTATTAGGTATATGAAGACATTTCTTATTTAAGTCAATCCAGCTGAATCAGTTATCTGTGTGTGCTTTCTGGATTTGATTTTTGCAACAAACTCTGACAGTTTTAACACTCCTTCCCGCTGGCCAAATTTTCCAAGCTCCACTGTCTCTCTACCCTCTGGGAAAAAGCCTCTCCCTTCCTGGGAATCCAGATTACATTTCACCCCACCTACAGCCCGATACTCCTACAGGTGTCACACTGTCCCAAAGGCACACAAAATCATTAAAAAAAACACCCTTTACAAAACGTCACTAAAATGTGGGACTAGCTTTGAATGACGGCCCACTGCTCTATTTTTCTAATATGGACTGTCCTCACCTCCAGAGATCGGTCGTGCCGGAAGCCCCACACGCAAGCAGCCACCGATACCGGAGACACGAAGAAGAGGGGCATGAAAACCAACAGCCAGAAACGGGTCCCTCGCTCGATTCCGTCACAAACCAGAACTTCAAACATCAGCAGGAGGAGGTGGATGCCGACGGCAATTAACATGGCTTTGAACTCCACACACGTTTCCCCTTCTGCTCTGAAGAGTAAAGGGAAATCAGTTCTGTTAGTTCACCCCTACTACAAGGTTAACCCAAACGTTTCCTGACGGACTGAGCTTAATCCCTGGGAAATGACCCATTTGCAAGGTGAAGTTGCTAAGCAGGCATAAAAAGAAACAACTGGTCTTCTCAAACAACACAACTCTTAGGTCTACGGAGAAATGCCCAGCCCAGAAAATGAACTGTGGGTGGAGTCACACCCAGGTTCACACAAGGTTTCAAAGATGGCGCTTGGATTCCCATCACGTGATGATGAACAACCAACCGTGCAACCCTGTTTCCGTTTAGGTTGTGGCGCCTAGCGGGAATCTAATCCTTTGATTTAGTTAAAAAAAAAAAAATCAAATCCAAGGCATCTCACCTGGATCAGCAGCTGCAGTTATAGCGAGTCAAAAATGAACCAACTACTTCGGTAGCTATTTGGAGCTACCTGGATCACAAAAGGGTCCAGCATCTGCACACTTTAACTGGTAGTCCTCGACTTACGACCACAACAGAGGCCAACATTTTTATCGCTAAGTGAGACATGCATTGAGTTCTGCTCCATTTCACCTCCAACTCTTTCTTTGCCAGAGTTGGTTAAGTGAATCACTACAGCTGTTAAGTTAGTAACCCCGTTGTTAAGCAAATCTGGAAACACACCTCCGGTTGCTTGTCGGAAAGTCACAAAAGGTGATCAGGTGACCCCGGGACACTTGCGACCGTCATAAATGTGGGCCTGTTCTCAAAGGTTTGAATTTTGATTACGGGACTGTGAGGATGTGGCAACGGCCCAAAGTGAAAAACGGCAATAAATCACCTTTCCCCCCCAGTGCCGTCGTAACTTTAAACGGTCATTAAACAAACTGTTGTAAGTTGAGACCAACTGTACAATTGTTCACAGTGGGTCCTACCTGAAACTTCAAAAGACGATTAAGAAAAGAAAAAAAGACATTTGCAAAGCAGGGACGGGTCCCTCTTACCGATATTGTGGGTTCCGGGCCCAGACCCCCGTCCCTACGGAGGCCCCCACTATAACCATTAGCTTCCACAGCCATATCGGAGCAAACACAGCCCAGTAGCTCCATTCGATCTTGTCATCCAGCCGGAGAGACAGCAAAATTGAGAAGAGCAGCAGACAGGCATAAATAAGAAATTTGCTATGGAGGAAGAGAAAGAAAAAAAAAAAAGGGAAGAGGAGATCAATTTAGGGTATTATCGCCTTCACAATCGCGGTGTGCAGCTTGTGTTTCAAAAACAGTAAGTCATTAAGAAGAGGTGAACAAAAGGAGACAAGGAAAGTTCCCAATGACTCCCCGAAATTTCTGATTTTTAAATCCCCTTTGGCAGCTGCAAGCGCACTTTTAAAATCATAATTTTCATTTCCCGTTTAAGCGAGACCAAAGATACGTTGTTTTTAGACAAGTATTTCTCAGCTGTAGCTATTTAAAGGCGTGACCCGTCAAAACCGCGGTCCACTAAAGCGCGCCCGATCAAAGCGCGTACGTGACATCATCACAGCGCGATGAAAACGGCA